CGCGATTTAAATGATTGCGGCTTCATTTACATTTACATGGCTGCCGCGCTGAGCCGACAAACAGCTGATCCTCGTGGAATGAGGTTTACCGGGGCTGCCGACAAAGGGCTTTGATGTCGACAGGGGGAACGTCCAGACTAGCACGAGAGCCGACAAACAGCTGATCAGCTGTTTGTAGGCTCAGCGTGGCAGCCATGTAAATGTAAATGAAGCCGCAATCATTTAAATCGCGGCTTCATTTACCTTTGCCTATGTGTCTAATCTACATGCCTCTGCCAACAGAGGCATGCAGTCTAGACACAGCCTAAGAGGTCTAAGAAGTTGGTTAATAGGTAAAACAAAGCGAAGCATAGGAAAGCACTCCATACCCTGAAAAATGGAAGCTCTGGGGACAGATAGAACAACACAGTAAGAGACTGATCACAAACAACTATTTCTCTACACTATTTATAATACTTGTTGTTCCAGTTTTACCAGATAAATTCCCTAGTGTTTCTAACAACACTCAACTGTTCAAGTTGTGATGCTAGTGAATTTTTGCCCAGATTATTCTGCACTTAAACCCTGGATCCTTTCCTGAGCCCTCAGGACTAACCATAATGCAGAAAGAGGCAACTCACCGAAATCCCACTCAACAGATTGTGGAAATCGCCTTCCTGTGACACAAAGGCAGAGCCCTCACAATCAGCATATGAATCTCAATATGCTTGACAATTGGCATGCTGCAGCACAAGCTTTATGATCCTCTGAGTCCCTGCAGATTGGCGGGCTCACCGGGACTCCACAAATTCCCTCAGGAAGAGGAGAAAATAGACTCTGTAGAAGTGCAATTTGGGAGCCTCCCTTGGGAGTGAAGAAATGATCCACTGACACCATCGGCTCAGGTGGCCAGGAAAAAAATTGCATCTTGTAGAATGTTCAGCTCAACATTTGAAGGTGGCTTGTTATTCTCTCTGTAATAGGCTGTCATGTGCCGCCACAGAATATGGAACCAAACCCCATTTTATTTCCTCACAGTAGCTGCTGTTGCACCCCAACCACACAGTTGTAATATCCAGCCAATTAGCCTCTGAAAAGTCACTGCCACCCTGTAGATGCCATACAGAATTGATGCAAACCAAAGGGCATGGAAAAGCCTTTCTTCTCCCGGGGTTGTAGCATCCAAGCTATTTTCCTCTCCCACTTTGTCCCACAATGCACCACTCAAAGAGCCTCTTCCCTCCACCACCAGCAGTCCCCCCAATCGTGGCAGCATTTACTAAACCCCAATTGCTTCCTTCCCTCCACTTCCCCCACCCACAGCTGTCTGAGCACTCACGCCCTTTACACCCCTCCCCCATAACCTCTTGTCCACTGCTTGCACAGTCTGTTCCTTCATTCTCCCTGCCTCTCCTGCCTTGAGGAAACCATGACTTGTTAGGGTGCGTTAGGAAGAGCATTGCCAGCAGATCTAGAGAAGTGATTATTCCCCTTTATTCAGCACTGGTGAGGCCACATCTGGAGCATTGCATCCAGTTCTGGGCCCCCCACTATAGAAAAGATGTGGATGTATTGGAGAAGGCCAGCAGAGAGCAACCAAAATGATGAGGGGGATGGAGCACATGACCGATGAGGAGAGGCTGAAGGATTTGGGCTTGTTTAGTCTGCAAAAGAGAAGAGTGAGGGGGGATTTGAGAGCAGCCTCCCACTACCTGAAGGAAGGTTCCAAAGAGGATGGAGAGAAGCTGTTCTCAGTGGTGGCGGATGGCCGAACAAGGAGCAATGGGCTCAAGTTGCAGTGGGGGAGATCTAGGTTGGATATTAGGAAAAACTATTTTACTAGGAGGGTGGTGAAGCACTGGAATGGGTTACCTAGGGAGGTGGTGGAATCTCCATCCCTTGAAGTTTTTAAGTCCTAGCTAGACCAAGCTCTGGTTGGGATGATTGAGTTGGGGTTGGTCCTGCTTTGAGCACGGAGTAGGACTCAATGACTCCTGAGGTCTCTTGCAGTCCTGGGATTCTGTGATTCTACCTAGCCACTAAAACCAGCTTTTGAATGTGCGCCTTGGCTTCCAGCCCCTCCACCCCCTGTTCTAGCCCCCTTAGCTGAATTGCTCCATCCTTATCATACACAGAAGCAGGAGACATCCAACCCCAGGGCCAAGTCTAGGAGCCAGGTATCAAAGAGCAGGGGAAGACAAATGCCATGGACCTTTCAGTGACATAAAGCCTCAAAAAGGACCATTCTCTGACCATTTCTCTAACTTGCTAAGGTCATTTTGACTTATGCCCCTATCCTCCAAAGAAGTTGCAGCCCCACCCAGCTTGGTATCATCTGCAAACTTAATAAGCGTACTCTCTATCCCAATATCTACATCATTGATGAAGATATTGAACAGTACGGGTTCCAAAACGGACCCTTGCGGAACTCCATTTGTTATCCCTTTCCAGCAGAATTTAGCACCGTTAACAACAACTCTCTGACTACGGCTATCCAGCCAATTATGCACCCACCTTATCGTGGCCCTATCTAAGTTATATTTGCCTAGTTTATCAATAAGAATATCATGCGAGACCGTATCAAATGCCTTACTAAAGTCTAGGTATATGACATCCACCGCTTCTCCCTTATCCACAAGGCTCGTTATCCTATCAAAGAAAGCTATCAGATTAGTTTGGCATGACTTGTTCTTCACAAACCCATGCTGGCTATTCCCTATCACTTCCAACACCTTCCAAGTGTTTGCATATGATTTCCTTAATTACCTGCTCCAAGGTATCCTACCGTGCAGGATGGCATAAGGCTGGCCTCCGCAAGAACCTTGCGAGAAAGGTTAAAGAGTTCCTACGTGAGAGCTTCATGGAACTATGCAGACAAGACTTGTGCTATGTTTGCTGACATGTTAACAAGCTGTTCCATGCCCCCCATGCTGTGTAGGCAGAGAGAGAGAGCACACTGCACCTCGCACCCCATTGCCTGAACTACCTGTAGTTAAACAAAGTTTGTGAACTCACTGGAAGTGCCCACCCCAGGGTCATCGATGGCCTGGGAGATGTCCTGAGAGGGTGGGGACCGGCTCCACTGTTATGACATCCTCCTAGCTCTCAGGCATCGGTGGCTGGCTAGTCTCCTTCTTCTCCTTGTGTCCCTCCACCGCCCTGCTCTCCTTCTGGCTGAAGTCAGCTGTGTCTTGGCTGGACTTGATGACCACACTGGGGTAGCTGGCGCGGCCCCCCGCCGAATAGCATCCAGCTGGCCATAGAAGCAGAAGGTGTGAGGTGCCACCCCAGAACATCTGCTCTCCTCTTTGGCCTTCTGCTGGATCTCCTTGTTAAGCCAAGCTGGTCTTTTGCCATATTTTCTATCTTTCCAACTGTTCTTGCACAAGAGGCCAGTGTAGACAGGCAGTGTTAATTTCTTGCGCAAGAAAGCCCGATGGCTAAAATGTCCATTGGAGCTTTCTTGTGCAAGAGAGTGTCTACACTGGCACAGATGCTTTTGCGCAAAAGCACATCTCTTGCACAAGGGCACATGCCAGTGTAGACGCTCTCTTGCGCAAATACTTTAACGCAAAAACTCTTGCGCTAAAAGATTTGCACAAAATCATGCCAGTGTAGACGTAGCCTAACAGTATTAATAATAGCCTCGAAGGAGCCGAAAATAAATGCAGTATAAGAGCAATACATTTATTATGCTACTCATTTCTAATTGTACTCACTGATGGTAGGCAAAATCCATATTTTTCATTGAATTAATTTGCTACTCTTACTCTAAGAAAATAATTTCAAAATCACTACATTCAAAACAACAATCCCAAATTAAGTATTTTGAAATAACAGGCTTGGTAGTGTAAATGCTCCACTGCTTACTTTGAAATTAGAGGGATTGTTTCAAAATAGCTCTTTAGTGTAGACCAGGGCTAAAAACATTTCATCCTCACTGTCTTCATTTGAAGGAAAATGCTTCTTCTGGTGAACATATGTATCTGCAGGATCAGAGCAGTCATTTCTTTCATTGGTGGAAACTTCACAACTGATGTTGTGTTCCTGCGAGTAAACCCTAATATGCAAACAGTGTTCTGAAACTTCCTTGTCCGTGTTGTTGTACAACTTTGTTTTCATTAAGTTAATCTTTCAATTGCAGCATTGCCAAAAGTTAGCTACAGAAATGAATGTGCAAAGAAGCTAACTTCACTAAAGACTTTTACTCCAGTTGTATCCCTGTATCGGAATCGTTGAATCCCAAAATACTCTATTTGGTTGTTCTGTGTAATTAAAAACTCCATGCCTGTACCAAGTGTCCATGATCTCCACAAAACCATGGCCAAAATATGAAATCAGCTGACCTAGGTCATGAAGGACTTAGAAATGTGATTCCATCACCTAAACATTTTGTGATGATCTCTGTTTCATGTGTTTCACAAAACCCAGGAAGACAACTTAGTGCCTATGCTTGATATCTTGGACAATGAGAATAGCTGGTGGGTATTTTGAAAGTTCTAGCTGAATGAGACCAAAATCAACAAGAAAATGCAGTTGGTTAGTCTGTCCCGTGGGGAGCTGAGAAGTCCCCTCATGGACAACTCTTTCACTCCATGCAGTGTCAAGAATCAATGAGAACATAACAATTGTGTGTGATCAAGGATTAAATCCATGTCAGCACACTCTTGTGTGACAATGTATTTTATTACATTTATCCATACAGAGAGGTGGGGCAATAGGTTTAGAATATCACAGTTATTAACTTGACATCTGGAAAGTATCAAGCAACCAACTGTACTCAATATCACTAGAACTAGTAACTTTGGTAGTCAATACACTTTTTCAACTCTTTATCTTTAGAAGTGTATATGCTTCTTTGAATCAATGCACATCTGATAAAAAGTGTAGCGTTGTAGTCCCTTTCTTTTTACTTTGGCTATCAGAAAGGTTAGCGTTAATTTGACAAACTGATGAAGATTCCTGATCACCCAGGATATAAAGGAAAGCCACCTCACCTTGAAGGATACTACAGAATCTTCCTTTGGTGTGTAAGTAACGGAAGGGGTTATGGACAAACTATGTGCTGGGCTGATGGGTGATGCCTAAAGAGATCAAGTGATGGTCAGAGAGAGGGATCTCAGCAACAGAGAGAGCAGTGCTTGGTAATGGAGCGAGATCATCTGTGAAGAAATTCTGAGATGGTGATCATCCACAATGCTGAACTAAGCCAAATTGGTACAGAGCAGCCTGGATTAAGGCTCCCTTTCTGTCTGACAGATGGCTCACAGTAATCACCTTCTGCAGGTGTATTTGCCCAGTTTGTCACGAATCTCCTTGGTTTTGACCCCATAAATGATGGGGTTGAGCATGGGAGGAACGAGGAGGTAGAGGTTGGACAATATGATGTGAATGTGAGGAGCGATTGTCTTACCAAACTGGTTTGACATACTGGTGAAGAGGCCGGGCATATAGGACGTCATCATCACACAGACGTGGGAGGTGCAGGTGCTGAGGGCTTTCTGGTGGGCTTCCGTAGAGGACATTCTGAAAACGGCTCTGATGATCCTACCATAGGACAGTGCAATCAGTATCAGGTCTATCCCACTGACCGCAAATGCTGCCACCATGCTATAGGTTCTGTTCACGCTGATGTCCCCACATGCCAACTTGGCAATGGCCATGTGCTCACAGTGTGTGTGGGGGATAATTCGGCTGGAACAGAATGGCAGCCTGCTGAGGAGCAGGGGCAGTGGTAGCATCAAAAGACCAGATCTTATCAAACCCACTAGCCCTAGTGTTGCTATTCGTGAATTGCTGAGGATGGTGGCATATCTCAGAGGGTCACATATGGCAATGTAGCGATCGAAGGCCATTGCCACAAGGATGGCTGACTGCAGGAAAGAAAGCGTGTGAAGAAAGAACATCTGGGTGAGACAGCCACTTATAGTAATGTCTTTCCAATTGAACCAAAATATGCACAGTGCCTTTGGTATGACAAGGGAAGGTGTAACAATGTCCGTGAGTGCCAGCATGCAGAGCATCATATACATTGGCTTGTGCAGGGTCTGCTCTTTGCCTACCACAAACAGCAGAATGAGATTTCCCAACAGGGTGACAATGTAGGACATCAAGAAAGGGATGGAAATCCAGACATGGACGGCTTCCAGACCAGCTATACCCATTAAGATGAATGTTGAAGAATCAGAGGGAGTGAGGTTAAAAGCTCCCATGAAGTCTTCAATGCATGGACTGTGCTCAGAAATGCTGAAGGTGCCTATGAAGAGAAAGAGCTACAGTGAGGGCATTGTACACTTTCTGCAACAATTAGTGGAGTTAATACAATAAATATTTCATTGTTGTTAACACTCTAAAAAGGGGATGAGCAGTGAGATGGTAATATTTTCAAATGACACCAGATTATTTAGGTCACAATCAAGACCAGAGAAGTCCTCCGAGGAAGCCAAGCAAGGCAGGTGAATAGGCAGCATAAGGAATTCAAGCTTTCCCAACCAATAGGCATACTTGCTATAGTTCTTGGAATCAGAGTTCATCTACCGACATACACCTACCCATGGCTCTAATTTAATTACATGAACTCCGGGCAGAGACCTGGGCTTCGTGATACATTGCTCTGTGAAACCTTTCCCACAGTGCAAGCCCTGACAGAACCTAAGCAGAACATTGGGATCCAAGAGGTATGAGAAAGCTCTATGGGTACGTCTAGACTACATGCCTCTGGCGACAGAAGCATGTAGATTAGACTACCCGGCATAGGAAAATGAAGCGGCGATTTAAATACCTTATGATTCTATGAATAGGAAAAGCTCCAGAAAAGGGCAATAAATATGATCATTATTCAATGGCTTTTATATTAGGAGATATTCATAAAACTGGACTTTTCAGCCTGAGATGACAAAGACGGGATTATGATTGATGTCTATAAAACCATGACTGGTATAGAGAAAATAAAGAAGGAACAGCTACTGACTTCTTATAACATAAGAACTAGGAATCATCCAATGAAATTAATAGGCAGCAGGTTGAAACAAGCAAAAGGAAGCATTTCTTCCCATAATGTTCACCCTGCCAAGTCTGTAACGGGGTCAAAGAAGATCTAGATACATTTCTGGAAGATAGGTCCATTAATGAGTATAAGCCAAGTTGTAGGGAGATGGTGTCCTTAACCTCTGTTTGTCAGAAGATGGGAATGGGCAACAGGGGATGGATCATTTGACAATTCCCTGTTCTGTGTGTTCGCTTTGGCACACCTGGCGTTGGTCACTCTGTGAAGACAGGATACTGGTGTAGATGAAGCTCTGGTCTGACCCAGTCTGGCCATCCTTCTGTTCTGATTTTCCTCACAGGGAAGCCACTAACACACAACAGCCAGGACGTAAGTGGAGATTCTGGCCAACGAGTGACCTATTCTTGCTGTGAACTCTTTGGTAATTCAGTACCTACTGCAGAAGCTTTGGCTGCACTTTCTAAGAGGCCAATGAACTTGGTTGGTTAATTGATAAAATTAATCAAGCAAGAGGAAAAAATCCACATACTGAAAAAAAAAGGAAGCTCCTGAAACAGATAGGATGACAAAGAATGAGAGTAGTGATAGAAATGTAGCCGTGTTAGTCTGGGGTAGTTGAAGCAAAATGCAGGACAATGTAGCACTTTAAAGACTAACAAGATGGTTTATTAGATGATGAGCTTTCGTGGGCCAGACCCACTTCCTCAGATCAAATAGTGGAAGAAAGTAGTCACAACCATATATACCAAAGGATACAATTAAAAAAATGAACAAATATGAAAAGGACAAATCACATTGCAGAACAGGAGGGGGGGGCAGGGGGGGGGGGGGGGAAGGAAGGAAGGTAAGTGTCTGTGAATTGATGATATTAGAGGTAGGGAGAGTGGGATGTTTGTGAGTTAATGGTATTAGAGGTGATAATTGGGGAAACTATCTTGGTAATGGGTGGGATAGACAGAATGAGACTGATCACAAATATTTGTCTGCACTATTTACAATACCGATATAAGTCCAGTTTTACCATAAGAACATAAGAATGGTCATACTGGGTCAGACCAAAGGCCCATCCAGCCCAGTATCTTGTCTGCCAACAGTGGCCAATGCATGAATCGAACCAGTAATGATCAAGCGATCTCTCTCCTGCCATTCATCTCCACCCTCTGACAAACAGAGGCTGGGGACACCATTCCTTACTCGCACTGGCTAATAGCCATTTATGGACTTAACCTCCATGAATTTATCTAGTTCTCTTTTAAACCCTGTTATAGTCCTAGCCTTCACTACCTCCTCAAGCAAGGAGTTCCACAGATTGACTTTGCGCTGTGTGAAAAAGAGCTGCAATTTAGGAGCCTTTCTCGGGAGTTAAGAAACGATCCACCTACACCATTAGCTCAGGTTGCCAGAAAAATTGCAAAGTGGAGTACTTCGCCTTTGTCCTTATTGAACTTCATCCTATTTACTGCATGCCTTTTCTTAGTTTGGTGAGATCTTTTTCACGTTCTTCAGGGTGTGACTAAACTACATGGCTCCATCAATGGAGCCGTGTAGATTAGGCTGATCGGCAAAGGGAAATGAAGCCACGATTTAAATAATTGCGGCTTCATTTAAATTTAAATGGCTGCCATGCTGAGCCGACAAACAGCTAATCAGCTGTCTGTCGGCTCAGCACGCTAGTCTGGACGCTTCTGCGCCGACATGAAAGCCCTTTATCGACCTCCCTGTTATGCCTCGTAGGATGAGATCGAATCTCCCATTACTAACAACTGCCTTTTCCTACTAACTGGAGTTCCCTCCCCTGGAGACGTAACCTCAGTGTGAGAGGATACCGCAACATGTGGAAGGAGGATCCCGACTATGGGAAGGTTTCCTTCTGCTCCCGTTTACTTTTCTCCTTCCCTGAGCCTTTCATCCTCCTTAACAGCACAGGGGCTGTCTGACCAGAGGTGGGACAATTCTACAGTGTCCTGGAAAGCCTCATCTATGTACCTCTCTGCCTTCCTCAGCTCCTCCAGTTCAGCCACTCTAGCCTCCAAAGCCCATAAACGGTCTCTGAGAGCAAGGAGCTCCTTGCACCAAATGCACATGTATGCCACCTGCCCACAGGGCAGGTAATCATACATGCTACGCTAAGTGCAATAAACAGGATAGCCCCCACTCTGCTGCTGGGCTTCTGCCTGCTTTCTCTCCTACTGCTACCTAGATACTTGATAGGGTTTCTATTTAATCAAAACTTCTGATTTAAAATCTTTAAACTAAACTATAAAGAATGGCAAGTGTACCTTGGCCCCTTCCCATTCCCCTTCCCAACTCCCTCTCAAAAGTCCCTGTTTGCTGCTCCTCTTCGTAAAGCTCCCTGGTCACTGACTCACTGCTTTATAAAGCCCTGCCTGCCTGATAGTCCCGCCCCCTGACTAAGCCAATTAACAGAGACTTCTAGATTTCAAACCTTTAGTAGCTCAGCGCTTCCAACTGCTGGCCACAGCACATGCTCCTTCAAACAAACAAACAAAAAACCAAACAAACAAACAAAACAAACAAATAGACAAACACAAGCTCAGCACACAGCACGTAACCCCCAAACACACAAACACACACTACAGACAGCCACTTACCTCCAGGGTCCTGTATTTGCTCCTCCTTTATCAGATAAATTCCCTGGTGTCTCTAACAACACTCAACAGTTCAAGTTGTGATGCTGGTGAATTCCTGCCTAAATTATTCTTGACTTAAACTCCGGAAACTTTCCTGAGCCCTCAGAACTAACCATCTTGTTAGTCTTTAAAGTGCTACATAGTCCTGTATTTTGTTCCATATTGCAGACATAGTCAACTCACTGAAATCCCATTTTACAGCTCATGGAAATCTCCTTCCTATGACAGAAAGGCAGAGCCCTGAGAATCAGTGTATGAATTTCAATGTGCCTGACAATTAACATGCCTGCAGCACAAGCTTTATGATCCCCTGAAGTGTCCCTGCAGACTCTCCTGTTCGCCAGAATTCCACAAATTCCCTCAGGTAGAGGAGAAAATAGACTCCAGAGAACTGCAATTTAGGAGCCTCCCTCGGGAGTGAAGAAACGATCCACCAACACCATTAGCTCAGGTTGCCAGGAAAAATTGCAAAGTGGAGTACTTTGCATTTGTACACATTGAACTTGGATACCCCCTGAAGCTACTGATTAACCAGTTAACTCACAAGTGAACAAATTTAAAGACAATCCTGTTACAAGAAAATACAACAAAAAAGCCAACGCCAGAGAATAACAAAACAGAAATGGCTCTTTCCCCATTACCACATTTTAAGAGCTAAAGAATCATGCTTAGCTGAGAAAGTAACTAGAACAGTTTGGCTAAAAATCAAAACAGTATTCAAAGCAGACCATTAACACAGAAGAAGGTATTTTCCCTCCCAGTTTCCCCGGCTATAATTAGCTTTGTCCATGACCCCCAGTAGAGGGTATTTCGTTATCAGCTGTCTCAGAACTTCCTCGTGGGTGGGGGCTCATTCCCAGCGAGCATGCTTCCTGAGCAAATTATACAGAGAGTAGGTACGAATTAAGATTCCCCATTTTTCCAGATCTTTAATTAGTTCACAGACTGGAGCCATAGCTTTGGCTGGAATGCTGTACTGTTTTATCTTGGTTATAGTGGAAGGCGGGAGATCAGGGGCTTGAGCTATCAAAGTTCTTAAAGCCGGCTCCAAAAGCTCATTTTTCTCCATTAATTACTTTCTCCTTCGCCTCTCTAGCCTCGGGAGGAGCCGTTCCAGTACGTGCTCCATGTCCTTATTTAGGGTTCGCACCCGGGTATCTAGGTTCTGGCATTGTTCCCTGATGGTATGTCTGCACTACTACCTTAGTTCAAACTAGGGTGGTTAATGTAGTCAATCGAAGTGGCAAATGAAGCCCCAGATTTAAATATCCCGGGCTTCATTTGCATCTTGCCGGGCGCCACCATTTTTAAATCTCCGGTAGTTCGGACTCCGTGCCCGCGGCTACACGGGGCACGGAGTAGGTAGTTCGAATTACCTACTCCGTGCCACGTGTAGCCGTGGGCACAGAGTTTGAACTAAGGGGGATTTAAAAATGGCGGTGCCCAGGAAGATGCAAATGAAGCCCGGGATATTTAAATCCCGGGCTTCATTTGCAACTTTGATTGACTACATTAATCACCCTAGTTCGAACTAGGGTGGTAGTGTAGACATACCCAGAGTTCGTATCTCTCTCTCTGCACTCTTATCAGCTCTATTTCTAAGTTCCAGTAGCTAATACAGGCTGCTTGCCACACACCCTTTAACAGCCAGATGCAAGCCCTTTCCCTTTTGCAGGCAGCTCCCCAGTTACAGGACTCCTGCCAGATTTCCTGTGGTTCTTCCCAATCTTTTCCTAACATCTCTTTATACCACTTAGGGTTGCCCCATCCCTCTCGGGCAAACTCTTTCTCCATACAGCTGAAATCCATGTCAATCGTGACTGGCTTCACGTTGCTGTATTTGAACCAATAACACAATCCTGACGACTACGCCAATTCTGTCAGCTGACGGTCAGGGCGGTGTGTGTGTTACTGAGAAAAGGTTTAACGTCCGTGTCTTTACCGCTAGGACTGGGGTCCCATCGCGGAGGGCAGCCAACAGGCTGACAGATGCCCCAGAGTTTATATGAAGAGCTTCTTACATCTCAGATTTCAGCTGCTAGGATAGAGGATCCCTGAGCAGTGGGCAGTCTAGGGAAGACTGAGAGATGCCCCAAAGGATCTGTCACCTGGGAGTGACACGATCCAAAATGTCCAAGCTCTCCCTATACTTGTCCCTTATGACCGGCTGAAGTTCTTTTAAATTATGCATGGTTCTGTTACAGCAACTGAAGGAGTCAGGTTAAAAACTTAAACAGTTACAGGTTTATTAAAAAGACTTATAAAGCATGTGGTTACAATGGCTATTGCTCTTTTTCTTAACTCCTAGCAAATATAGATCTTAAAAATGGTTACAAAGAAAATAAAGATAGAAAATAGAAATAATGGTACCAAGTGACAGCTTAATCTTTAAAGAGCTCTAAGTCTATGTGTACACTTAAGACAAAGGACACATCCAGATACAATTTTTACCCCCTTTTGTGCCTCTCGACTCCAGCGTATCAGGCCAGGGCCGGTCCCTCAATTCCTAGGAAAGAC